TCATGTGACATTGATGTGGCATTAGTGTTGTACGGTTTGTTTTGTTTTTTCTTACTCTATTGTGTCGTTTAAGTTCCCTCTGATGCAGCTAAAGCTAGTACCTGTTTGTCCCTGCTTGGGAGCAGCTGCTGAAAGTGACTGACATTTAAATCTTGGAGCCGAAATGGCTCAGCCGTACATTTCCTACTTTCTGCTTTTATTAAATGGTCTTGAGCCATAACAACAACAAGTCACATTAAATTGCTAGTCTAATTCACCTCTGCAATAAGCCCCCTATTTCCCATTATCTCAGTGTTGTTAAGCCATTTTAATCCCTAAATAAGTATTTGACATTTAACACATTTGTTTTTTTATTAAAGTATGAGACCTGACTGACAGTAGCAGTTTTTCTTGTTTTGCATAGCTGCTCTGCAAAGGTTGCATTCAAGAAGTGAAACCCGGAGGACAGGCCAGGCTGCAGTGCTGTTTGCCTTGTGGCCTCACTGGACACAGAAGGCTTTCTGCTGATGAATACGAAGTGTGTACCCTTCAGTGAGCCACCATCCATGAGATGGCATGCCTGTCAACCTCTTGCATCATAGATGTAGATTTCTACATTTGTTCAATGTCAGGGAGTCAGAAAGGGGGGGGGGCAAATGATAAATTAATCTACACCTCTGCCCACAGTTAAATCTTTTTTCCCCTAACATTATTTAACTTGCACTAGTTTGCTCTCCTGACCCACAGCTGCAGGTTAACAGGTGGTGGTGGTGGGGGGGTGGTCAGGCAGTACAGAGCAGCAGGGGAACAGTAGCTTAACTGAGAGTATCCGCAGTGTTGAGAACAAATTCATATAGACGGATGGGGTAAAGGTGATAAACTTGAAGCTTTTCTACTTTTACAATAAGGTTTGAGTCAGCTCCTGTATAAATGCAGCATGTAGCAATTGCTGGTGTTTAAATTGCCTTAAATTTTTGCTGGATAAATATTAAATTTTTTGAATTATGTAGTTATTTAGCAGTCTGCTAGTACCGCTATGATGATGGCACAAGGACTGGGCGATATATCGAGTTTTTAAATATATCGATATATTTTTATACGAGATGAGAGATGTGACGATATCGTTTATATCAAGATAGTCTATGTTACATTATAATTATACTTGTGGAGCCGCATGTTTGCCTCTTTTGTCTCTACGCTGCGTCACTCTGCCTCGCCTCTCTCCTTCACTGAGCACAACTCCCCCTCCCCCATCGCTTCACCTGCAGGTAACGACAAGATGGACACGGCAGCTATCAAAGAGGAGCTGGTCGGTAAAAAAATTTGGAGATTACTATTTTAATGCTGCAGCGTTAACGTTATTAAAATGAAGTTAATGCCATAACTGTATTAACACGGCAAATCTCCGTTAACGAGTTGCCGCGGATCGCCCCGTGTGCGGGGCTGCATGGCGTCAACGTGTTAGCGTTACGGTTAGCGGTTACCTCGTTAACGTGTTGACGCCGTGCAGCTAGCACTACTAGTATTTTCACCATTTACAGCGCCATAAAGTGAAAAATGAAGAGTGTGTGAAACTGCGTGCTGTATCTCCTGCCCCGAAACAAACTACCTTACAAAACTCGTATACCGTATTTTTCGGACTATAACCGTACACTAAAATCCTTTCATTTTCTCAAAAATCGACAGTGTGCCTTATGTGTGAGTTTAGGGCTGTGCGATATGACCAAAATCTCATATCCCGATATAAGAATTCTATCGTCCGATAACGATATAAATCACAAAAATGTAACATTTTCTGTAAATTCTGTGAATCTCGGGCAGCTCGACTTGCCTGAAGTGTTTCCAGCTGCGCGTCATGCAGCTGGAGTCAGTGTTTTAACTGATGCATGAAACTATACATTTTTAGACATAAGTTGTAAAGGCCGCCGTTTTCTTTGTGAGTATTTATTACACAGCGTGTAAGCCTGTTCATCACCCCGTTCTACGTGAGCAAAAAGTGAGTGTTGAGTGCCTGATTGGGAAATTGTAGTTCAATGGTGGAGGTCTGTGGACAGCTTCAGACTGCTCATCAACCTGCAGAGAGCGTCTGATGTCAGAAAGGGGCAGTGTCAAAAATATGTGGTACGACCGATGTGTGGTACACTCTTGGTTATAGGTTTTGCATGGCTCCTGTTCCTGGTAACTCCGCTGTCACTCCCTTCCCTATTTTGGCCCACTTATCAACCAGTTAGCAGTCTTCCACATGGGACATCATTGCAGCTGGGATGCTTCTACACAAGGGAAGAATTTCTGCTTTTATTTGAAACTACATTTAGGTTAATGAAGATCTCTGCTTTGTCTCGTTTACTTTTAAAATGATTTCTCACAGTGAAAGTTACTAAAATACAAAGTTAGGACTTTGTAGAGATGGTTTTCGAAAAGCTCAGCCTCTCTCCATGCGGGGAAAAAAAATCAGCTGAAACGAAAAGATGTGCATTTCACATTTCTTCTTAATACAGAAATGTGTTTTTGTGTTGTTACACATGTACTTAAATGCCACATCACCATGGAAAAAAACAACCCCACACCTGCTTCCCTTTATGCCTCCTTATTTCCATTGCAGGCCTCTCACTTCATGAAGTGGATAATTGTCCCTGAAGGTGATGGGAAACTCTAATTTCCATCACTATATTTTCATATCGGGGAAGAAATTCCAGTCAGGCGCATATGGCAATTCAGTGTAATTTCCTGTAATCCAATACTTTTGTATGGAAGGAGAGGTTGCAGATATAATGGGGGAATGGAAGATGCAGCCGGTGCTCACAAGAAGATTTAAATGTCGATCATTGCAAGCATCTAATTTAGGCAAGTGGCTGATTTGGAAATGGCTTTAAATCAGTTTTTAGTTGAGCTTTAAAGCAAATAGCTGCACTCTACTTGTACTTTAAAGATGGGCTCGAACACTTTCCATCACTACAAGAAAACTGGGTAGTGAAACAAATGTTGTGTTGCTAACGTGGAGTGCTGAGCCTTACAGCTTGTTTGGTAATTTAAAAACAAGTGCTGGTCAAAGCTGAGCGTATTGTTTCGTTATGTTTTTTTTGGGGGGGGGTTTAGATATTCTGTGCTATATTTATTTGCCAGATTTCCCTGAATTATATTATAATTTAAAGAAACTGAAAAAATAAAGAAAAGTTGAATGTGCAACTGTTTGGTGCAAGTTGCATGATTTGTGTGTGGGGGATATTGTGGTGTCAACAGTTTTCCCCAACAGCCTTTCAATTTTGGAGATCAGTAGCAAACTAAAGTCCTGCGCACAACCAATGACGGCTTTGTACTTTCTTCTATCTGTTGTAGCTGTTTACTGTCACCAGGAGGCAGTGTCACAAACACCTGGTCAATGGCTTGTCAATGCTGTATCATTTTTGATCTTTGGGTTTTTTGGAAGTGCATCTGGACCAGCAGCTGACCAAAATTGCCTGACATTTATGCTGGCTGTCAGGCCGCTGGTTAAGCAGAACCCTGCGTTGTATATAATTGCAGTGAAATTGTGTTGCTGTTTGCTTTTTGGTTTAGTCACTGTGTGTTATACATTAGGTCCTTTAATTAATTGCTAGCCTGCCCTTTGAAAGAGATTCAGTTTTCGCTCCAAGGACCTGGGAGTCTTTGTCGGTGTTTTAGGTAGCTGTTGTGACATATCTTGTCAGTTGTGATATTGCAATGTACTCTGATCTTTATGATTTATTGATGAAAGCTTGAAAACTTGAGCCAGTGAGAACCAGAATGTGACAGATGTTTCCAGGAAAGCATCACCATCGATCAGTCGTTTGAATATATATACTGTCACAGATTGCAGCTGTCAAATAGATAACACCCTAGAGAGACCAAACTTTGCTCCAGAGCTGATGCTTTAAATCAAGCAAGAAGGAAAGACGAGGTGTCACACTTATAAAAGGTTGCCCAAGATTATGTGTTGGAAAGGAAGTGTATGTTGAAAGGGTATCATCATGTATCTGCTGTTTTGTCCGCAGATGACAGCCAAGATGGGAGGAGACCAGATGCCCAATATGAACAGTTCATCTCCAGTCTTGGACCCCTCCATGTATGGCTTTGGAGGCCAGAAACGTTCACTAGACAATGGAGGTGAGTCTTCAGGATATATACGCGCACACGCCGTATATTTTATAACATACGTGCTCACTGGCCCCTTTGTTAGGTACACTTTGGAACCACTTTTGACTTCAGAACTGCCACAATCCATCATGGCGGAGATTCAACGTTACTGAAAACATTCCTCAGAGATTTTGATACTGACATGATGGCCACTCACAGCTGCTGCAGATTTGTCATCTGCACATCCATGAACTAACACCACATCTAAAAGGTGCTCTGCAATCTGGTAGCTGAAGAAGTAGTGAACTGAAGAAACAACCACTTTATTTGGAGAAAAATAAAACAGAAAAAATGCAAGAATAGCCCAGACGTCCCAGTTTTACACTAGCACATGAACGCAGCTTACATTTGTGGATCTATGCAACGCTGGAAGTGTAAAATTACTTTTTAAAACCCCACATGGGCATATGACATCTGTGTCTATCAGGCAATTCATGTGCACACATTTAAGGTTTTGTAAGTGTGGGAGTGTATTTTTAAACATTTGTATTCAGACAAAGCTTTTTAAAAGGAGAATTTGTCTAATTTGTGAAGCCGAACTTTATAAATTGTGCGTAATGATCAGTATTTATTCCGGTGTGGATTGAAGCATGTGCTTGCGAGTCCTCAAAAGTTGCCGCATCACTGCACACATTAGTAAATCTTAATTTATGCTTGTGGATCATACCGTTCCTTTGGAGGCCCATTTGCATCTAGGTGCATTTGAACATGTGTACCTACCAAAATGGCCAGCGAGTGTATAGTTCATATGTTGGCAGCATAAAATTCACAGATATGTTTTCTGGTTCTGCAGCTTCTCTTGCATAATGTTTACACGGGCATTCTGCTGCATGAAAACAAGACGCATTTATCACTATTGGAGAGCGATTTTCAAAATCTGGGATATAGAGCCGCAGCAGGCGTGTGGTTGATAACCAAAGGAAAGCATGCAGTGAAATTAAACTGATGTAGGGAAGTTTGTTTTGGGTGTTGTCCCTTTTCCTCACTGAACTTGATCTTTGTTTTATTTGCTCTGTTTTATTATTAATGATTAATAAAAAATGGTTGACATGACGCATGGCTCTTTGCCTTTTTAGCTTGCAAGGGTTTGTGCAACTCTGTTTACTGGGCTCCACAGAGTTTAGCCAACAAACACCATTATCCAATCCGAAGGAGAAAATGAGGCATCGCCTTTTGGCGTTACTTTTCAACAAAAAGCTGTGGCAGCAGTTGCTAGAAGCAGTTAAGCACTGCTTATAACAGTTCAACTGCACTGGTGGCCAAATGTTTGCAGCACATGCCATGCCTTGTGCTTGTGATTATTATTTTTTTCCATCTCTTGCTTAAGATGGAGGGAAAACAACGTTTCTTGAGTTATTTGGTGATTGGATAACTTGTACAATTTGCATCAGTAATCGTGATCCTTTTTCAGGGTTTGGCACAGAAGAAATACATTTTTGTTTTTACTCTTGCCTCTAGAGCTCTGGCTAATTGACAGTTTTTCTGCAAAATGTACAGTGAAAGCGTCATGAAACCTGCTCTGTTATAAATAAACAGACGTGTGGACAGCAAATTGGAGATCTCAAACCAGACTACGCTAAAGCTTTGAGACATTTTCATGTAAAAGCAGCTGAAATTGGTCATATTAAATAAGGAGTTATTAATTTGAATTGTAATAAATGGCTTTTCTTTCTAAACTCTTTCTGAGTGACTCTCATTCAGTCACTTTTCAGTATTCACGGTTCTGTGTAGAAGTTGCCAAACTGTCTGTGTACATTTCATCTGTGTAGGAGGAACTGTTGTAATCTGAAGTGTTTTTGTGTCTGCTTGGACCTGACACTGCAGTGTCGTGATTTTATTTTATTTATTTTTAACTACAACAACAAAACATTGCATTTTTCTATGCCTTGCACACAAAACAAAGATTTGATGTCTTTCATATCCCCGAAGTGGAAACGCGAGACATTTATCCTGTCGTCTTATCTCCTCACAGTTGTTTGTATGATAGTTCCACCCTGAATGAACGGATAAGAAAATTGTATGCAATTCTAGTTCAGGTTTATTTGCTACTGTTATTGTTTGGATCGCTGTGTGCTCAGCTTTTTCTCAGTCAAGGTTTTTCTTGCAGTCTGGAGGGGAAATAACAGAAATTGTATCTGTGTATCACTGCAGTTAATTATCAAACAAGTACGCAGGCACTCGAGGCATTCAGACTTGATCATCCAGTCTTGTCCTCGTACGAGTGAGACACACACCTTCCTCGTTTATATTCATAGCGGTCCCATTCTTAAGCGTTAACCCCAGTGCTTTTCCAGAAGAAGTGAAATCAGTGCAAACAGCCATAAAATTGATTGAACCCACGAGATATCAACTCAGGTGTTCACGTCCATGGCAGCACATCCTCCAGTGACCCTGCAGGACCCTTGCTTGGTGCTACCTGTCAAAATTCAATTCAGGACCAGCAGTCGCTGACCCGGCTGCTGCCTCTCTCTTTCTGAGCGGCTCTGATTGAAACACTCACTCATACACTTGCAGGCCCAATTTCCATGCTGGTGAAAGCCCCCTGCTGCAGGTCAGCCACAAACATGAAGGATTGGCAGAGCCGTCCCCTCCACCACTGACTCGTTCTTTCTCATTTTGCTGCTTCGCTGGCGATCACTTGGGCAGATATTTGTGGTGCATCTGCTGTATTTTAAACCATGATCTCAGATTATTTGTCACATGTTAATTGGTGTGCTTTCCCCTCTTTTTCTCTCAGTGGGGAACCATCTCAGTGCAATGGTACATCAAAGGTAAGCAGAAAACACCTGAATAAGTCCTGTGTTCATAGAAGTGCACTCAGTTTATCAGCATATTTTCTCATACAAGCACATGCATGTCTGTGGTTACCAGTATGATGTTGTGCCGTCAAAGATGAATATGAACCCAGTTTTACATGGTTATCATAAAGTTGTTGCTGCTTTTGCTTTTAAGTACTTTTGCTATAGTTTAACAGTAAATTAAATTAGAAAAACGTAAAGCAACTTTAACGTGGACTTGTGATTATCTCATCATACAAATATTAATACAGTGGTGATCACATTAAATGGGGTCAAAGTTTAAAGTGATGTGGTAAACCTTTCTCAGTGAGTCAAAAGCTCAGGCTTATTAGCTTTTCTTTCCTACTCTTGGCTCTGTATGTAATCAGTGTGAGCAGATATTCCCTAGCATGGTCATCTCAGCCCCCTGCTGATTTGGCTGCAACCACAGAAGCTCCACACACCTGCTGTTCAAACCCTCTGTTTATGAGCGACAGCCATTCACAATAAAGTTAGCCAAAATTTGTTTCTGACTGTGGGTGGACACCAAGCCTTGGTAATAATATTTTAAACTGTTAGTCATGCAAAGCTATTCATGTCCAAGAATAAAACGAATATGGTACTCAAATTGATCCTCATAGGTCAAAGCAAACCTTTTGGTTCAAATTGTAACTTCCTCACAATGTTATAGCCTCTAACAAAATAAAATGAAGTAAATTATGTGCCCTGTGATGGACTCGCAGGATGTGCCCCAAATTTCAGAAGTTATTCTGTTGATTGTATAGAAAACGGTCATTAGTTGTAGTCCCAATAATTTCAGCATTATTTCTTTTGATGTGTACAAGATGTCTCTGGCAGAAGGGCAGATTATTGATCATGTACCAATTTCTCTCAGGGCTTTTACAACAGAAGACTTCAAAGTGCCTGATAAGATGGTGGGATTCAGTAAGTAGCCTAACATTTGACCTGTAATCATCAGTATTGACATTCTGCTCAGTTTTTGGGTCAAAGCACTGGGCCTCAATCTAAATTGTGGGGCGGGGGAGAAAAGTTAAATGCTGAAATTTCTCTCTTTTTGCTCAGTCATTGGAAAAGGAGGCGAGCAGATCTCAAGAATTCAGCAGGAATCAGGTTGTAAGATCCAGATTGCTTCAGGTAAGTCCAGTTTAATCGTAAACATAATATAAAAACATGGTGGCAGTGAGGTCTTTCAAGGTGGCAAAACAAATGTAATAACACATTTCATTTTGTATTTAAATACTGCGCCGTGTGCGTTACTCGCTTTTATTGTGTGCAGCAATAAAAGATGATGGTGAATGTTGTTTCCTCTGAGGGTCAAACTGTGGATGGAAAGAAGTTTGACATAAATTAAATGTTGACCAGGTGAAAAAGCATCAAAAAAGCCCAAGATAAAAATTTAATTTATTGTATATGTATAATGTACAATATAATATATTTCAAACTCTCATCTTCTGTTTTATTTGGTCTTGTTTTGACACATTGGGTTTCTCAAAAGCTTCAGCCTTCCATTAATATCTTTTTTTCTTTTAAGTCTGAGCAAACTTGCTAATTTTTCATGATTGTATTTTAAAGATACAATTTATGCTAGCAGAAGCCTCGTGTCTCTGCCAGAGGCCGTTCTGCATTTGCAGCATACCTGCAGATTAAGAAAATAGTGAATTCAGGATTTTGTATAGAATATTTACCTGAACTTTTTGTTTTTATCAAGCTTTAAGTTTGCATGAGCAAGCCTGTACTTTTGTGGACTTAAAGTATGATGTGATAAGATCAATTACTAAGTTTTCTGCTAAGGCTAGCAAACTTGGTTAGTATGCTGCATTCACAAACTATAGCTGAAGCTCACATGCCTGCTAATTAGTGCAAAGTCAAGGACTAATAAAATATTAGAAACACTCAAATCCTGGAGCGCAGACTTCCTGGATGTCTGTTCAGGCTGAATTTCACTGTCAGATTCCAGATAGTGAAAGTTGGACTTTAACATGTGTTGCTAACTTTTACCATTTAGGGAAGGGGAAGAAAGTCTAAATGCAGGGTTTTGTTTTTTTTTGTTTTGTTTTAAACCAGGTTGTAACCTATTGCATAATATGAGAGCCAGTCGCAAGTGGACTTTACACTTTAGAGGACCTGCAGTTTGTGGCACTTGGCATATTTATTTTCCAGCCTCTCTGTGGCTCTCGTCTTTGTTCTGCCATTCATTTATTCTTTGTCTTTGAGCCTAGTACAGAGGGTTTGGGAGTTTTGTTTCGTTTTTTCCTCCCCACTCAAGCTAAATTAACAAAACCGAGGATTGTCTTCACATAGTTTGTCCAACATTGGTTCCAGTGTTACTCGCACAACTATCCAGCACTGTTTGTGGGACATGCAGTGTTCGCCACATCTCAGGCTGTGGTTTCTTATCATGTTAAGTTGCAAGTTTGTGAAATATGTTGCTGAAAAATGAAACTCACCTTTTCTAACATGCAGTGCATTCATTTTTTTTATTGCATGAAACTAAAACTTCACCAAAACTACTTGTAAGTGCAAAGATTTATTTTTTTTAGTGATAAGTTTCTTTAATTGTCTGTTTTCTTGCAGACAGTGGAGGCATGCTGGACAGACCCTGCACGCTGACTGGCAGTCCAGAGAACATAGAGTAAGTCTCACATTAACTTTGACATATTAGCTGGAACTCCACATGTCATTAGGAAAGTGTGCCCTTTTGTCATTCAGGGCTTGAACTCCAGTCTCTTTTCACTTGAAGTGCTGATCAGTGAATGAATCACCTGAGCTCATCTTTCACAACTGCAAAGCGTTTTCTTTGGGGGTGGTTGTGCAGGTTGTAGTGACAAATCCCTTGTCTTGCTCTTGGCTCCATCCCTCCAGGCAGGCAAAGAGGCTTCTGTGCGAGATTATCGAGCAGTGTAGGTATGGTCCAGGCTTCCACAATGAGATGGACGGGAACAGTTCCATTCAGCAGATCCTGATCCCTGCAAACAAAGTCGGCCTGGTGATTGGAAAAGGAGGAGAGACCATTAAACAACTGCAGGTCCGCGAGTAGATGCACTGCACTGATAACACAACACATGCACTACAGTAAAAACGAACCATGGTGATGACCTGATTTTTGAACTTCGTATTATTATTGCAACATTTTGCATACAGATTGTAGGACTATAAAGATTGCAAATGGAGAGAATGGGTTTGGTGTTTAACAACTGTTGGAAGTTTCGGGGGACACGTCACAGCCCTGTTGCACAGGGTTAAACTTTATTTTATTTTTTAGAAGGTGGTTTCGTGTTAGTCTGTTTGAATCACGTGACTGTAATTAAAAATATGCCTTGAAGTGGTAACTGTCTGCTTTATCTGAGAGTTCTGCAAAAATGACACTAAAAGCACAAAGCCATCCTCTAAAAGAGGTCTGAGGAAGAAGGAAGCAGCTCTAGTTCTAAATTATCCACTGACTTACAAACTGCATCTTTAGAACAGATCAAATTAAGGTGGTCAAGTTGAAATTGATTTCTTTAGACTGGTTCTTTTGGGACAAACTTAAGGTTTGTGTGATTCTTCATCGAGCATTTAGGAATGAGTAAAGTGTTTGACCTGTCCAGTAGAAACTGACCCAAACTGAAATCAGCTGGGCTCTGTTTTAAGCATTAATCACTGGAGTAGGAACAATCGGAGGGCCCTTTTCAAACATTTTTCAAGGGACCTGTTTCAGTACCAGTGTGTGTTTTGAGCCTTGTTGTCAAATGCAGTGGTCTGATTGGTCAGATATCTTTATTCACATGTAAACAAACAAACAAACAACAAGCTTAATTCAAAGCTAAATGCCACAGATTTATCCTGCAAAAGTACATGGTTTGTGTGAACGGCTGCATTCAGAATAGTTTTGTTTTAGTTTTTTAACAACAAAAAATACATCCTGTTCTTTGAGATGTGCTAGAATCTCCTCCTTTTTGGAGCGAGTAGTATTTTGTTCCCCAGGTAACTCTTTGGTGGTTGTTTCTTCTTCTGTCTGATTGTACCCCTGCAGGAGAGAACAGGAGTGCAGATGATAATGATTCAGGATGACCCCATGCCCACTGGAGCAGACAAGCCCCTGAGAATCACTGGGGATCCCCACAAAGTGCAGGTCAGCCTCAGAAGTGCTCAGTGTGTGCCACTATCTGTCCTGTTTTACACTCAATTTTACACATTTTATGCCTTCAGCCTTCGACTCAAACATTTTATTTCTAAACTTTTTATTTTTTTGAGGAGCGGTTCAGTCCGACTTGGCTGTGTTTCACATGCAGGATTGTTTACCCAGTATTTGAATTTTCTTCTTAGCAAGCCCGTGAACTTGTGGTGAAGCTCATCCGGGACAAAGACCAGGGGGACTACAGAGCTGGCAGGCCAGATTTTGGCTCCAAAATGGGTGGAAGCAGTCTAGACGTGAGAGCCTTTTTCTCTGCTTTTCAGCTTCGGGACAGCCAGCTAAATTTGCTCAGAGTACATTTAAGCGTTCTTCATTTTCCTTTCTTTCTGTCAACATAGGTGGTTGTGCCTAGATTTGCTGTTGGCATCATCATTGGCAGGAATGGCGAGATGATCAAGAAGATTCAGAGTGACGCTGGGGTCAGGATCCAGTTCAAGCAAGGTAAAGAGGATTGAACAAGGCCTCATTTTGGCCATTTCTGCCTAATACGATTGGGTCTAGATTAATTAAATCACATACAAGGGAGTAGCTGCTGTGCATCTCTGGTATTTTAATTAAGCTGTCGTAAAATAAGCTGTCATCATTTGTAGTTAATGTACTAACTGTAGAGTAAGAGGTCAAGAAAGCCCTTAAAATCTGACATGAACGACACACAAAATATGGATTTAGTACAACCATGGGCTCTTCAGTGTCTTTGCAAGTGCTTGAAATCAAATTTTTGTACTTTATTATAATAATTTTACATTTGTAAAGTGTTAAGCTTGTACATTTTGGTCCTTATCAGCCTACCTGCATGTAAAAGATGACAAAATTATAGTTGTAGTGGTGATGTACTTTACAATCAGTCACAGAAAAGCTTTTTCTGAATTAGCCCAGCTGTCAGTAGCTGTTCATTCAGAAGTTACGGTTTTGTTTGACATCTGTCTCCTGGAGTGCGTGCGTAGTTGGTGCATTTTCATGTAAATTCTCTGGAGACGTGTCCATGCAGTCACGGGGGGGAAAAAAACAGGCAGCCACTAAAGTTAGAAACATATCACCTATATTTTCTTAATTTAAATTCAGAAAAGTATATAAAGTCTTCATGCGGTTTAATCTTCTCTAAAATAACTTTTCCTCCCTTGAATGTGCTTGTTCAGATGACGGTATCAGCCCCGACCGTGTAGCTCAGGTGATGGGACAGCCCGACCACTGTCATCATGCGGTCCACCTCATCAATGAACTCGTTCAGACAGCTCAGGTATGTGCTTCTTAGTCCCCGTGTATTTGCATCTGTTCATGCAAAGTTGGCTTTAAATATTTAATTAGACAATTTGTTTATGAATTATTTTATTTATTTTTTTAAAGTCCATCAGAGCAGTCGCTCATATGCAGGGATTTTTTTCCTGACCTTCAACAATCTGTCAAGTTCTTTTGTGTCTTTATTATAATGACCTTTCTCCTGTCTCCTCCTGACAGGAGCGAGATGGATTTGGCGGCGTAATGGGACGTCGAGGGCGAGGTGACTGTAACATGGGAGGGCCTGGAGGTCTGCAAGAGATGACATATGCAGTACCAGCTGATAAGTGTGGCCTGGTGATTGGCAAAGGTAAGGAAAATGTTCTGGAGATATTTAAACACAGATACAGTTTTTTCTTTTAAATATCACTAACGCTTAAGCACAAGATGCAGTTTTTTGTATTTGTTTGAGCTGATGTTGCATAAGCCTGATTAAAATGAGCAGACTTGATAAGAGTATCCAGCTCAGCAGATTGCAGTTTCCATTTTAATAACTGCCGTTTGGTGTCCTGCCTCTGAGAGAGACTGATGAGGAGAGGAGGGGGTGAGTGACCACCCTCCTATTATCCCTCCAGGGCTCATGTATACAGCACAAGTGGCATTCATTGGCTTCACTAAGGGCTTAATGACGGGGATAATGCGTGTAATGTGACATTAATTGTTAAAGGTGCATAATAACAGCCCTCAATCATGTGGAAGGCTGCCTGGCATCTAATGAGGGTCTTTCAGCCCAATAGAGTGCAGCGAGGGAATGAATAGGAGGAATTAGCTTATTGGCTATTCATGCCCACTCTATTGCCAGCTATTTAAAAGTCATTGACCATTGCATTGGAAGGAGCTGTGTGTGTGTGTTGTATGCTAGGATGGATGCTGCCTTAGTGTGTGTGTGTGTGTCTGTGTGGGGAAGGGCGGGTCAAAAGGGGCCTCTTTACCTAAGATAAAAACATGGCAATAGAAATGTCAAGTGGCTTTTGTGCATGTAGTGGGGCGAGGGAAACAAATAAACCTGGGCGTTGCGTCCCCCTCTCTGTGCATTAGCATATGAAGTGGGCCAATATGGTGGAGATGGCGGTGGGTCTGGGTGCTGTCAGGCATCCCTTAAAGGATGCAGTGATTAATATCTTTACGATGCCATATGCAGCTCATTGCCCCTCTGTTCTGACCTCATACACACCGCCACACCGAGCTTGACGAATCAAGCCACCCACCAACCTACTCAGACTTTACCAGAGACGTGACGTTAGTGCAAAACACATAACCAGCATCACAAAGTATATATCAGTATATGCCGTAGTACATCTGTATATTTGCTTAACTTATCTGTATATAATTGCTCTTATTGCACTTCTGATTAGATGCAAACTGTATTTCGTTACCCTGTATTTATACGTGTGTAATGACAATAAAGTTGAATCCTGATCCGAAAGTTACACCGCACAAGTTTTAACCTGAAACATCTAAACCCACAGTGGGCTGCTACCTTTGCTACTGGCTAAAATTAACATTTGTGTAGGAACTTTTGTTATTCATCATAATTTCAACCACTTGTTGTTTTGTTTTTTAATGATTTAAGCTTTTAATGATGTGATTTTGATATGGGGTTGTTTTGCTAATTTAAGCTGAGTGAGTAAATATTTAAAAGGGGCCTGTGACTTTTTCAGCTCTTATAAATAAACTACCAATAAGTACGTCTGAGACTTAATAAAATGTTTACTTTCTTTGGGCCTTTTGGGGAAGGAATTGGGGTTAAAACGGTTAAAAAACGAAATGGTTGCAACTTTAAGCCCTTTTATTTATTTATTTAATTTTAAATCTCATTAGTGACAGACTGCTGAGAGCACGAAGGCACGTTTTTATCTACTCCGTTTTTTTCTATTTCATTTTTTAAAATTTATTTTAGAACTTCTATTTTAAATTTTTAAACTAACCAATGAGATGTTAAAATAAGATGTGATCTCTAATTGTTTATTTTCTTTGGTAGATTCCTAATCTTAAAAAAAAAAAAGCCCAACCCTTCATTTGACTTCTGTAAAAGGTGTTAAAAATATATAGAAACAGTCTTCCCTTGGAGATTAATGTATTTGAATGGGGCTACAGGTTTGTCTGTTTCCCTGCTCTCCCAGTGGAGCAGAGACTTTCACTGTTTAAAAGTAAATAAATAAAATTTTTACCTCAGCTGCATTTAGTTTATTAGGCTGGGGTTTCAGTCTCAGCAGTATTTCATTTTATTTGGCCTTCTTGGACAACAAGTCAAATGGTGCATTGGTGTTTATCCCATAACACGAGTCAATACCCATCCTTATTTTTTTAAAGTGGGAAAATACTTGCATGCAGTTCAGCGAATATACATTTCTGTTCGTGTTTTAGAAGTTTTATTTATTCCACTATTTCAGCTATAACACCCCACTGTAATGTCATATAAAGCTGAATACAACGACATTAGAAACATCGCTGCCCGTTCTGCTAATTCTACTTTCCCTTAATGCCACTAGAAGTTTTATTTTCCCCACCAGCAGCTAACCAGTCCCTTGGCTTCGCCCTGAATGCCGTCACCAGTTGCACTTTTGTCTCCCTCCTTTTCTCCACCTCGCTAAACCAGTCTCATTAATAAAGCCTGTATTATCTGTCCTCACTACAGCCCAGTCCATGAAATGAATAGTCGGGGTCTTCATTGCTCTCTGCTGTCTGACTAGAAGAGCTCATAATGGCTTCATTAAGGCAGAAGTTTCATTTGGTTGACAATGGGTTAATGGCCCATGTGCAGTCTTTTGGCAGCATGGAATAAGGCTACCGGAGGAGGAGAGATTTTTGATGAGCGCTTTCATTCGGAGGTCAGCCAGGGTCATCAGAGTGTCAGCCACAAGTGAACAAATATGTAATTGATGTTGGGACAGCCCCGGTGTCCCCCCGGGGAGCACCCTCGGAGACTCCCCCCCCTCCTCCACCTCTCATCACAGAGGACAACACCGAGTCAAGAATGAAAGGGGGTAAAAGAGACAAACGATATCCCAGAAGGAGGATACGCTTCAATTTTGGCCCCCTTTCTCCTGCCAGCTATGTTTCATTTCTCCCTGCTGGTGTAATTGCTCTCCCCACACGTCGGGAAGCTGGCATCCGATGCAGAGGAGGGGCTGTCGTGCAGGAGATGTCTTCCTTTGTTTCCTGATTTGCATGGATGTTACAAGAGAATGGTAGATAAGTGGTGAGACACATGCCGTATTTTTCTTAAGGTAGCACTCTTAGATTTGGTCAGAAGAGAAAGTTGGCCCAGTGCTCGCTCCATGTGTTGTGGAGCAAAGCGCCGAGTCGGACCTCAGAAGAGAGGTTACGATGACTTTGGTCTTCATGCAAACCCTGTAAGACAAACTTGACGGTCTCGTATTGAATGACCAGAAAGTGTAGTGAGCGACAACTGTTTTCTTCTCTCATTGCTTTAGTTTTGATGAAGTCACACACAGATATCATTTCCTTCACTTATCAGGTAATAACCTAATTTAAAGTAAAGACCTTTACACGCCGGCTGCGTGAAATCTGTGCAAATAGTTCATGCGTTCGAAATATTTTTCAGACTCTCCTTTATTTATTTTGTTGTTTTTTGATACAGGATTACACGGATTTTTATTTTTTTAATTTTTTTTTTTTTTTTTTCTTCCCATATCTGAATAAACTGATCTGGCCAATCAGATCATTACACTAAAATAATACAGCTTTACATGTACAAAAGCCGTCGTGATACAGCTCCAACTCTGATGAAACCACAGAAACAACAGGACCAGCTCATCATCGCTTGGTCTCATCTTGTTTTTAACTGCTTTTTATTGTAATTTTAGTTTTTTAAGGGCAAGTGTGTGTGTGTGTGTGTGTGTGTGTGTGTGTGTGTGTGTGTGTGTGTGTGTGTGTGTGTGTGTGTCAGTCACAGCCAGTTTGACTCTGAAAATTCTGAATTTCGTGAGTTGGGTGTGTAACGGCTTTTAGCCTCTTGGCCTTAGAAAGATGGCAGGATGCATAGATGGAGTCATAAATAGAAAGAAGAGGGGAAGCTGTTATTTATGGTTTTTACAAATTCAGTCATGCAGATAATTGGGAACTAGCGGTATATGAAAGCCAATCGTTAGGAAGGGCTGTGGACATCAGTGATAGCAGTAGCATGGAGAGGACAGTGGTAATGAAATCTAAAGTGGATTACAGCTCCTGTAAATATTAGTCGGGTGCATTCATAGTCAACAATTAATAAAACTGAGACGTTACTAAAATAGTTTCCTTGTCTGGAGCTTCTTTCAGCTGCTCCCGTATTCACAAAGGGTTGTCACAGCGGAGGATGAAGGCTCTTCTTGACAGAACCCTCTCAAGGATTTGTTCCTCCTCTTGGTCTAGAGCGAGGGCTCTTTTAACATGTTAGGCGAATGTGTTAACCACTGTGCTACATAACCTTGTTCCCAATTAGCTGTAAGCTTTTCACTGCTTTATTATGATAAACTCTGACCAGTACTGATAGTTGAGCACTTCAGATCTTGGAGTTTACTTGGAGATTAGATCTGGAGTCTTCCAAACCCACCTCAGCCCACAAGTGTTTGGCGTTAGTGCTAAATGCACTGTTGTTTGAAAAATGTGTGCAAGCTGCATATGAAAATTGAGTGTGTTTTTGTTTTGTTTTTTCAGGTGGAGAAACCATCAAGAACATCAAAGAGCAGTCTCGTGCCCACGTGGAGCTGCAGAGAAACCCGCCGCCCAACACCGACCCCAACGTGCGCATCTTCTCCATCCGAGGCACCCCTCAGCAGATGGAAAAGGCCCGCCAGCTGATCAATGAGAGAATTGGGGTAGGTGGTCTAGCTCCAGCCCCCCACGATACTCCCTCCCCAAAATGTCCATTGTCTGGTCTGATATTCATGAGCGCACATGTCAAAGCGGGGAGCTTCTCGGTTGAGCTAGGCTGCTCTGGTCCTGGTGGCCAGCAGGATGTCACCAGAGGTTAAACATGAAGAATCCATCAAATGGACTTAATGGAGTGCATCAGCGCTCGGCCCTGCCCTCTGACCTTGCCTGTTGGCTCCTTTTAAACACAAGTGTGGTCTCCTCTCTTTATCTTGTCCAGGGCCCAGGAATCGGGGGGAACAGCACCTTCGGTATGAATCCCTACAACCAAGGACCAACCACTCCCCCGCAACAGTAAGGATCCATTTCTCTCCTCCTCACAGTGCATTTTAACACATACCTATGTGAATATAGATGTTCAGCAGATGCCGTTTAAACTCACGATTGCATTCTCCTGTTTGAAGTGGGCCTCAGACATTCATGACTGGAGGATGGGGGACAACTTTTCAGATATGGCAACCCCAAGGACAACAGGATAACGGTGAGTAATTTCACCAAGAATGTGCTTCTTTATCTAGACGAATACTGTGATGCATTTTAAGTTGTTTTATTAGCTATAAATTTGAAAACTGCGACCAAAAGCTCGGCAGCAGAGCACGACTAGCTCTGTTCTCAGTCTTTGGCAGCTTTCCCGGAGGTTATCCACGTGTTTCTTGCACCGACGTGTTTTCCATTTGCTGTCGGTGGAAATCATCAGAAAGCAGCATTGCAGATGGAAAAGCGGAAAAGTAAAATCCAGCCTCAGTAACTCTGGCGGCATTATCTGTGTCTGGTTTCAGGTCACAATGGATCCCAGACGGGCCAGATGGACTGGGAGCAGTATTACAAAAAGTTAGGCAAGTGTCACTCAGGAACAAAAGGACATTAATCCCTCAGCTCTTTGTTTTACTCTTTCAAGACTGAAGTTGAATCTCATCTGTGCACATTCATTTTTATTCACACAAGCCTGTTTTTAAAAAAAAAAAAAACAAGAAGAGAAAGTCAGTGGAGTAGAAAATAAAAATTCTGCTCGTTATAGGTCAGCAAACCCAGGCCCAGAGTACTGTTCCTGAATACAACAAAGGATGGGGTATGTAGTTTTACCGTGTTGTTTTAGGAGTGCAGTAGATACGGATTTAAGCATATGCTCAATTCCTGCATTTGTTTCTTCTTCACCTAATTTGTTTTTCCCCTCCTTCTGTTCAGGCCAGGCGGCTAGTCCTGGATCTCAGCAGACCTCCAATCCTGACTACAGCACCTGGGTTGACGTCTACAGACAGCCGATGGCCTTCTTCAGCCAGGGCGCTCAGACGCAAGCCCCGGGTCTTCAGGTGAGGTCGGACTCAAATGTTGAAGGATCAGCCCGTCTCATACGGCATGCATTCAGTTTTATACTCCTGGAGTAAATATTAAAGTTAGGAGGATTTTTTTTTTTTTTTTGTATTGCTGCTGATTGTGGTTTACATTTAAGAAATCATAGTAGTGATATTTTACTTTAGCCAGGTGTAGTAAAAATATGTACTGTTTTTGTTTGGTTTTTTTTGTTGGGATTTTTTTCTTGATAAATAAAATTACATTTGTTAAAAAAAGTAAAATATTTATATAATATATATTATCACTTTTTTTTTTCCAGCTTAAATTGGTGTATTTAATACTAAGCTCTTGGAAAATAGGAAGAAAAAGCAACTTTACTCCCATTAAGACTGTAAATATTTTATCCATTAACTGACTGTTGATTAGAAATGGTTCACACTCAAAATTAAAACTGTTTTTAGAAAGCTCGCAGTATGCTGCTGCACCGAACACTGTGACGATGCAGCGTTTTTGCAGTGCTGTCAGTAGTCGCACGTTTTAATGGAAGTGCCTGACAAATGTCGATGTGCTAAACGCTGTCATGTTTTAACTTTACAGGATCATTAGAGAAGGCGCCCCGGTTAAAGACTTGAATCACTGAGGATGAAAACAACCCTTCTTCTTCTTCTTCTTCTTTCTTTTTTTTTTTAAGGTGGGGGTGGGGGTGGGGGGTCTAGATTTCCAGCGCCTTGAAGACTTTTTTTTTTTCTTAGTGAGAAACACTAGCTGTAGAGTGACTTATATAATAAAGTAATATTTCTAAAATCAGGAACATTTATTTGTTACTAAATGCTTATGTACACTGTTATTTTGGATAGACAGTATATGGGATCCCTTTGTTCTTTGGACTTGAGAGAGCTGTTCTGTTATATTTTTTCTTCCTATATTTTCCTGTCTTTGCTCAGTTTGCGCGCCAAAATGAACCCAAGAGTTGTAACATTTCAAAAGGCAATATGATCTATTTTTTTCTAGCTCTGTCGAAATGAAACCATGATTGTGTGCTTAGCAGTCTTGAATACAGTGTTTTGTTGTCACATGTCGTAAGATGTTTAAAACGTTTGTTTAAAATGTTTTTTCTCTCCTTTTACATAATTCAATAAAATGAAACTGTGATGTTTTTGTTACAGGTTTTTTTTTTGTTTTTTTTAAAGGTTAAAAGGTTTAAGGTGGGTTAATGTCAGCCAGTGGCAATAGTTCTAATTTAATTCCTGTTGTGCATTGTTATGCTGTTTCATTGTCATTTTTATTGTACTCTGGTTTAAAGAAAGGTGCAATATCTTATTTCACTTTTGAAACAAAGATGGATTCTCTAATATTTTGACAGACTTTTTAACTTGTAGTTTTAAGATGATTTTTTTTCCAAATGCAAATGTCATGGATAATTTATTACACTGATCTGATTTAGGGGGATGTTGCAAATAGCTTTTTTGACTTTGCTACCTTGTACAACTATGTATATATATGCTCATATATTTGACTGTTTAATTTAAACATCTGTTTCATATATATAGATATATAAAAACTTTTTTCCCTGCGATCAGAGTTGCAGGAAAATTGTCCCTCTTTTTCTGTTCTGTTTTCATACTGAAAATGTTCAGATTGTGAATGTGCGATTTGAAATTTGATGTTGCATCTTGTTATGAAGCAAAACAAGACGTGGTGGATTTTGTTTTTATTTTATTTTTCTCTCCTCTCCTGGGTGTGTGTTCTGTACCTGAACTATTCAAGACTGCTAAGCCCCTGTAATTCGTACCTGTGTAATAATTAATGTAGTATTTTTATGTTTTAAGTATTATGATCAAAACCTGTCTTATTTGGTACCTCCCAGTTCGCCGGCGCCCCCTCTGAGCCCTTGCTGTGGACTCGGCGGGGCGTTGGACTCAGTCCAATGCTAATACCTTTTTTTAATTTTTTTTTTTTTTTTTAATTTTCTTGTGTGATCTAATATAAATGATGCGTCATTATAGCAAGTGATTCTGGTTATTAACGTCATTTCTTAATGAAAAGGGATATAAATTCAAAATGTCTAATTATGGTGTTTATTTTGTTTGGTTCTTTTTCCTCCTCTTGTGTACAGTTAACCATGTATTGAAAACATCTGGACTACCTTTATTGTGTACTGTTGAGCTGAATTTTTATTTTATTTTCTTTTTTCTGTTTGAATATTGTAATCATTTGGATGTCTTTGGTTGTATTCTGATACTAAAGTGTTAAATTTCACATCTGAAACTTTCTGAGAGCTCTATTGTGTTCGTGTGTGTATGTGTATATATATATATACTAACAGATGATACATAGAGGATATATAGGCCAAATGTATGTTTTCATGTTTTATAAGCAGAATATCTATTTTCTATAGTCCATTGCCAGTTCTCAAATTCAAATAAATTTTCCGCAAGCCTCTCTTGTGGGTGATTTATGCTATTACACGTTCATAATGGTAACTTTCCTGCACTGCCGAGCTGCTGCATGCTGTAATACTTCCACTGCGTTACGTCCACAGACAAAAAAAATACCTGTTTAAGAGTCTGTTGCATGACTTTTTATTGAAACTGATTTTTGATTTATTATTAAAATAAGCCACTGCCTTAAGTTTCTGGATGAGGACTTCAGTTGGAGTTGTACTGTAGCAGACTTCACCTTCAGAGCCTGTCAGGAAATCTAAAGTTGGCCTTCCTTTTATCTTTTTTTTTTTTGCTGCTCCAAATGCTGCACTACTTGGCCACATTTCCTCTACAGCCATTCCTCATTGCACTTGAAACAATTCTTGCACTTTTTCCTTCCTCATCCTTCTCGCACATTAAATGCTTAAAGCCAGCATCAGCTCATTCCACTGTCCTGTCCCACCCCTCCTCCTCTCCTGCAGCTCTTTCCAGCTTTGTCACTGCACATCTTTGCCCTCAGCAGGGAGGCTCTTGCCACAGTGGATCCTGCGTGGCCCCGTAGCGGCCCCTGCTTTGATGCCGTGCAGCTGTTTCCAAATCCAGCCCTTGATTTTGATCCTCTTCGTCTTTAACGTGCCATCCCTGTGGACGTTTTGGACCTGCTGGGTCCTTTGTGGCCATCTAATAATTTCTTTTTAAGCAGAGTGAGAGGGGCACTTCATTATCTGTAGACACACCGAAGCATTTTCCTGCTTATCCAAACTGACAGTATGATGGGGAATTTATGCTGAATATGCCGATCTGTTGCACAGGCAGGTGCCCCTGTATTGAAACGTTGATTTAAAAATGATCCTGCTTGTACAATAGTACTGTGGCCTTTTTAAAAGCGACTGCTTTCAGTCTGAAAAATGAGAAGAGCAGAGCATTTAAAGTAAACCACTTTTTTTTTTTTATGTATTTATGTGCAAGTAAAATATTCCTCAAATTATTTTAATGACTTTATGCAGGTTTTGCAAATGTTGTGCTAAATAAATGTAGTTCTAGGGACCTTTACTTCATTTTGAGGCCTCTATTGTTCCACCTCACTTAGCTTGTAAACAGCAAAATGATCTATAATTTCATAAACACTCTGCAGAGTGTCTAAAATTAGAGGCGTCATTCTGCATTTATCTTACATCACCTGAGCCCGAATCACTCTTAAATTCCTAGATTTTTTTTCTCCCCAATCATAGCTGAACATTTTCATTATAATTCAATTTTATTTTGGCTATATTTGAGGTAAAATGGCAATGTAATGTTGGGAATGTCGTTCCAGAATAACATTTTTAATATAAGGTAATTATAGTCTACTCGGCATGAAAAATCCTTCGCATTTCAGAATTATTGGATATTTTTAACACTGTTAGATGGGGGAATGGCAGCAGTGGTTGTTTTATCCTCTTCCCCCTGCTCTGTGTCCAGGTCTTGTTTGTATAAAAGAGCATTACTGATTGGAAAGGCCAACTTCGACTCAGCTGACTGTACGACTTGTTTTTATTACGTCTGCATGCAATTTGGTGCAGTTTCATTAGAAAATATTTTAGAAAACGATCAATTTGTCTCGGACTCATTATTTTTAAAAGGTAAAAGTACAGTTGTCAGTATTTGTTTATTTTCAAATCGCACTCCAAACTAATGAGAGAAACTGGATTTGTGGGACTTTTATCCACAGCTTAGCAGTTTTACGGCTGCTACTAAATTTGGGTACATTTTCTCTTTAGAAGTGTGAAGTAGATTTAAGGGGATAAATCAAGTCGTGACATTTTAATTATTACTGCAGTTTCTGCTGATTGATCGAAAAAGGAGACTAATATAACTTCGCAGTTTCACGTTGCAGCCAGTGTTGGGCAGGAAACCATGTTTCAATTAGTTTCCATGCTTTGTAAGTAAAGGTGGGCCTCCACACACACACACACCACCTCCACATCCAGCAGGTGCCCTGTCCTGTCCCGCAACCGAGGGAGAGAGGGGTGAAGAAAAAGAGGCTCTTAGGGGTGTGGGTGGGGTGGGGGCTGCACCTCTCTCACCTTTGCAGCAGATGAGCCGGCCTCCAGGATCCGGCGCACTGTGGCAGCTACCTTAATCTGTTTTTAATGACACTGCGGAGGATCCCGCGGGAGGCTCTGCGCTCCTTTCTCCCTGCTGGTTGGACTGTGTGTGTGTGTGTGTGTGTGTGTGTGTATATCGCTGAAGCGGGCCTCAGTTAAATTCATGCGGATGTTTGGGTAAAGTGTCAGTGATTTACGTTCTTATTTCTAACGAGCAACAAAAACGGGAAAAAAAAATTCCAAGCAAATTCTTGAAAGCATCGTTTAATATTGAGTAATTTTCAGTTTATTCTCTGACATTTTAACGTGTAAAGCCAATCATGTGTTTTCTCCTGTTTTTCTTCAGGGGTGTATCTCTCCATTCTCACCCCCTCCGATTCGCGTAAAATTCCGCTATTTACCCACAAACAAACGCTCGCCTTTGATAGGTTTCCCAGCAGCTCTTTGAAATCCATCAATTACCACATTCTTTGTGCAATAATTGTCAATCATCCACATTAAATTGATAAGCTTTAAATGGACAGAATAATGGCTTAAATTGTTTTACAATGGAACGGCTAAGCGGGATGATTTGCCATTGCTGACATGCCCGCGGCTTTACCAGCTCCGCATAATGCCACAGGTTAATGCATAAATAAGCAAATCAAATCCATGCGTTACCCCAATTCAATTCATTTAATTCCTCTTTAATAAAGAAGCGGCCCACCCCCCCCGTCCCCGCCATTTACCTCGGATTTGTGCGATGAATGCTATAAATGTAAATCAATCTAGATGAGAAAGAATCCCATTGAAAGAGCAGAGAAATTTCATCTGGGAAAAAGGAGACAAACGTGGGAGGGGCCCGCTCATAAAAAGCAGCTGTACACGGTAATCTTTTTTCGTGCCCTGTCACTCACCTTGCCTTTTCACTATCTCTGCAGCTCAACAAAACTCTCCGCTATTGTATTTACTTGCCATATCTTCTGTGCCATTACATCGCCATAGTCCATATTCGTCCAGAGAGAAAGAGGGGGAGAGAGAGAGCTCAACGTTGCCCACTTTTTTTTTTTTCGGACAATCCCCTTGTAGTTGTTGGACTGAAAAGAGGAGTGCATGGATGTCAAATTGCCCTCAAAACACCATGAAAGATTGATTTGCAGCACTTTTCAGGGCCCTGACATTACTGGGAGG